GCGCGCGCGCGCGTTAAGTCGGCCGACGTGCGGCCATGCGCCCAACGGCGTGGAGGGGACACTCACATTGGCCCCGGCGTTGATCAGCGCTCGGACACAGGCCAGGTGCCCCGACAGGCAGGCCTCGTGGAGAGGCGTCACGTGGTCGATGGTGACGATGTTGGCATGGTAACCCTGAAAGAGAAGAGCACCCTGAGCATCGAGATATAGGAACCCACCACCTGGTAGGTCGTTCCACCATCTTCAAGCTGTTTTTAGGGGCTTTAAAGGCCGTTTTGTGTCTTTAAAAGCTGTTTTGGGGGGCTTTAAAGCGGTTTTCTGGGGTTTTAAAAGCCGTTTTGTGGGTTTAAAAGTTGTTTTTTGGGGCTGTATGTTTCTGTTTCTGCATTCAGACGCTTTTATCCAAAGCGACTTACAAAGTAGACCCAATGTTAGTTATCATCAGATCTCTAGAGGAAAAGACAGACAGGGACCTATTCTTCTTATAGCACCTGGTAGGTCTTTCCATCATCTTCCAGCTGTTTTTTGGGGGCTTTAAAGGCCGTTTTGTGTCTTTAAAAGATGTTTTTGGGGGTTTAAAGCAGTTTTGTGGGCTTTTATGTTTCCGTTTCTGCGTTTAGACGCTTTTATCCAAAGCGATTTACAAAGTAGACCCAATGTTAGTTATCATTAGAACTCTAGAGGAAAAGACAGACAGGGACCTATTCTTCTTATAGCACCTGGTAGGTCGTTCCACCATCTTCAAGCTCTTTCTTGGGGCTTTCAAAGCTGATTTTGGAGGCTTTAAAGGCTGTTTTGGGGGGCTTTAAAGGCCCTTTTGTGTCTTTAAAAGCAGTTTTTTTGGGCTTTAAAGCTGTTTTGGGGGCATCAATATATAGGAGCCCGCCACCTGGTAGGTTGTTCCACCATCTTCCAGCTGTTTTGGGGGTTTTAAAGGCCGTTTTTTGGGGCGTTAAAGGCCGTTTTGTGTCTTTAAAATATGTTTTGGGGGGTTTAAAGCAGTTTTGGGGGGCTTTACAGCTGTTTTGTGGGCTTTTATGTTTCTGTTTCTGCATTTAGACGCTTTTATC